CCGTTGCCCAAAATTCTGGCGATTTCATGGCCATCGTTATCATTCTGTTTGCAAATTGTTGAATACATAATCATTTGATGCAACAATTCAAATATCTGGCATTCAGAAAGACTATCTATATTCCATTCATAAATGGTTTTTCCATGATAAGATTTTTGTGTCTGGAGGAAATCTTCTTCGTAAAGAATATCCATTAGAGTAGGTTTGGGATAATAATACCTACTGGGTGTTGTTTTACTGGATTTCCCATAATGCATTTTATTGATGGAAACTGGATGATTATCTTGAAAATTGTTTTCAATTTCAAGTTCATCTTTTTTAGTGTTTGATTCTGGTATTCTTATACCTTTATCTTTATTTTGCTGGTTAAGCTGAGTTCCGGCCTACACCCAAAGGCGCTTTAGATGTTCTGATCTTAAGTTCAGGAAGTGTTGCAGCCTTGCTTTTATCAAGGTTTATAATAGCAGATATGTCTTTCCTCCCGAGTTCATTAGAAAGCTTTGGCTTTGATACTAATTCAGCACATCGTGACTTCACTGGAGCAACATAAGGGCTGCTAACTATTTTAGGCTCAGATAGTCTTTGGATTCATGGGAACCTTTGGATCTGGAGTGACATCCCTGTTCTCTTTCCTTGGCTCTGGTAATGATGAAACTGATCTAGTCGACCTATTCCCTGGAAAGTGGCTTCCATTACTTGATTTGTTGCTTTTAGAGGCTTTATGAGATTCACTGGATCCAGTTGAAGCAATTCTTATCTTAGATCTCTGTAGAGGAGATGATGATCCCGGCTCTGAATCACTGAACTTTATTCCTTTGACAGAGCTTAGCGCAAGTTTCGTTGGCAATTGTTTTCGGGGTTTTTTGTGAGGATGCCAACTGAGTAGTCGAACTGCCTTTTGCTGCAATTCTCTTTTCCCTCTCCATCTTCAAAGCTTCCACTCGCTTGCGATCTTTCTCTTCCGGTAAAAAAAACAACTTGAAGATATAAGAAGTCCATTGGAATGCCAAACATGCTAAGCTGCCAAACGAAAAATTGCACTATAACTATAAGAACATGAAGCTAAAGGGCAGCCCAGTGAATGGGCTCCTGCCACTGTGGGGTTTGCAAAGGGTTAATGGGGAGGCTGTTTCTCTTTTTCACACCCATGATGTGATATCGCAAGTATCATAAGGAGTTTCGCTATTAATCTTCTCCACGTGTTGTAGAGTGTTGACGTATAATAAGCAATGTACCTTCTCTTTCTTTATTTTCTGGAGATCAGCATTGAAAGTTCTTAGTTTTTCAGCACGAGCTCGTGCATCATCCGAAGGACACTTTTTTGAATTTTTTCCCTTTTCTTATTAGTCCCACAGTCTTCTTATCTAAAGCATCTGGAGCGACTTTTGACTTCTGATCCTTGTCTGACTTCTTGGACCCTTGTTTGATATCTACTACAACTTCCTTATTTCTGTTATCCAATGAAACAACATCTTCACCATGAGCCTGCATTTCATAGTCCAAAGTAGGGTTGTAACCATGACCTCGTTTTCTTTTTGAGGACAACGAGTTCTTGTGCATCCTATCTGGAGCACTGACCTGAAAATCTCCAGCTTCCTTGTCAGTTTCAGAGTCAGAAACTGATTGGGATTCATTGCCTGAAGAATTCCTCCCTCTTGAAGTGATGTAACTGACGTTCTGAATAACAACCATGCCTGATTTCTTTTTACCTGATCTTCCGGCCTTCTTTTGTGGTCCCCAGCTTTGTGAAGCTTCGCTCTCCAACTCCGAATCACCATGTGACCATGTTTTGGTGGCATCCATCTCCCATGCTTCTGATTCAACATTGTTGTCTTTACTATCCATGGTGTGTTTTTTCTGTCCTGCTTCATAACCAACATTGAATCGAGAATTCTCCACTGGTGGATAAGGTGGCTGATAAAATGGGCCATTTCCTAGATAACTCTGATAGTAGGGCATTCCTTGCACAGGATATGGTTAGAAGACTACCAGCGCACCAGATGGGGATTGTACAGGCCAGGAAGGAAACATTGGATGCGGAAACGGACCTTGAAAATATACTTGTTGGCCTACTGGAACTTGGTGATCCATGGGACACGTTTCTTCTACGCACAAGTGTATACCGTTAACCAGAAAAAAGCAAGTGAAAATTATTTTAAAATTTCAAAATGCAAAAAGTGAAAGAAGAAAATAAAGACCTCATAGAAAAGAAGAAAAAGAAGAAGAAAGAACGAAAAAGTATTGGAGTTATGTTTGGCCCTTGATATTTATCATTCTAGGAGATAAATCAATTAAAAAGGTTTTGTGCCCTTTTAACACGTCCAAGTATTAATTTTTTTAATATCAGCATTGATAGTTATATTTGCTGTTTGTAAATGCTTTTTTTTTTTGGTGAATTTTTTTGTAAATGCTTAATTTTACTTTTAAAGCATTTCCTTCCATCTTAAGATCCTGGATAGTTATTGGTTTTTCTTCAGTTGTATTCTGAATTCTTTTATAAACTTCTTTCATACTGTAATGTTTAGGAGAAAGACCGATTTCTTCCTTCTTCTGTTGTTGATAATAGAGTTCTAGATATTTTAATTTCATTTTTGGATAAGTAATCTGGTCAGCAATGTTTGACATATTTTGCTCACTTTTTGTAAGGCCATTGATACTAGGGCTACTAGTATCAAGTCCTTTCATTTCAACTATTGTTTTCCTATAGTTAGATTCTTCTGAAATTTGATTAATATTATGTTTGAAGAAACAAATTTCTGGAGAGGAGTCAGATTCTGAGTCAGAGGTCGAACTGTATAATGCAGCAAGTTCATTATCTGAACTTGAGCTTATGTTGGAATCTTCAGAAAGCATTTGAAGGATTTGTAGCTGAATTTCATCGTCCAAAGCTAGTTCATTTTATTTTTGTTGAATTTTAGCTTTGCAACAATTAGCATAATGTCCTGTTTGGCCAAATTTAAAACATTTAACTGTGGACTTATCTTTCCTTTTGTAAGAAGTTTTATGTTTGCCTTTAGATTTAGGAGGCTGTGGTTGCTGGACAATTTGTTTAGATGGTTTGTATTTTCTGGATTTTTTGGAATAAAACTTTGAAGATTTTCCATATTTATGTTTTTTATTTTTATGTTTGGATAGATACTAGATTTTAGTGTCATAGGCAAATTGTTCACAAAATTCACCAAATTCATTATGACTTTGTTTTTTGACTTGATTCTGTAATTTAAGATCATTACATAAAGCAAGACCTTTTTCTGTGACCAATCTTATGAGTTGGCCATAGGTATCTTCTGAATAGGGAATAGACATTTTGCTATGTTTATCCCGTAATTTTTTTTCTAATTCTCTCAGCAAAGAGAGTTGGAAGGCCATCGATAAATTTGGCTTTCCAATGATCCCAATTATGAACATCTAACAACCCTCATCATGAAGACATCTTTATACCATCGAAAATGGGATAAAGAAGGGCATCTAAGATTCTGTAAAAGTTCTCTACTTCTATCTTCAATACCATCAGTAGAGGCACCAACAAAGTGATGTAAAATGGTATTGATAAGAGTGTAAACTGCATCTTGTTCTGTTTGAACATTTCTTGTAATGGGTTCTGTAACCCTTTTTATATGCACTTAAAATTTCAATCTGTTGGGTTTCAGTGATGATATTATCCCACCATCCTTTAAGGATTCTTGTAAAACCGTTGACCAAAAATCTGGCGATTTCATGGCCATCGTTATCATTCTGTTTGCAAATTGTTGAATACATAATCATTTGATGCAACAATTCAAATATCTGGCATTCAGAAAGACAATCTATATTCCATTCATAAATGGTTTTTCCATGATAAGATTTTTGTCTCTGGAGGAAATCTTCTTCGTAAAGAATATCCATTAGAGTAGGTTTGGGATAATAATACCTACTGGGTGTTGTTTTACTGGAGTTCCCATAATGCATTTTATTGATGGAAATTGGATGATTATCTTGAAAATTGCTTTCAATTTCAGGTTCATCTTTTTTGGTGTTTGATTATGGTGTTGTTATACCTTTATCTTTATTTTGCTGGTTAAGCTGAGTTCCGGCCTACATCCAAAGGCGCTTCAGATGTTCTGATCTTAAGTTCGGGAAGTGTGGCAGCCTTGCTTTTATCAAGGTTTACAATAGCAGATATGTCTTTCCTCTCAAGTTCATTTGAATGCTTTGGCTTTGATACAAATTCAGGACATCGTGACTTCACTGGAGCAACATAAGGGCTGCTAACTATTTTAGGCTCAGATAGTCTTTGGATTCATGGGAACCTTTGCATCTGGAGTGACATCACTGTTCTCTTTCCTTGGCTCTGGTAATGATGAAACTGATCTAGTCGACCTATTCCCTGAAAAGTGGCTTCCATTACTTGATTTGTTGCTTTTAGAGGCTTTATGAGATTCACTGGATCCAGTTGAAGCAATTCTTATCTTAGATCTCTGTATAGGAGATGATGATCCCGGCTCTGAATCACTGAACTTTATTCCTTTGACAGAGCTTAGCGCAAGTTTTGTTGGCAATTGTTTTCGGGGTTTTTTGTGAGGATGCCAACTGACTAGTCGAATTGCCTTTTGCTGCAATTCTCTTTTCCCTCTCCATCTTCAAACCTTCCAGTCGCTTACAATCTTTCTCTTCCGGTAAAAAAAAAAACTTGAAGATATAAGAAGTCCATTGGAATGCCAAACAAGATAAGCTACCAAAAGAAAAATTGCACTGTAACTATAAGAACATGAAGCTAAAGCTAAAGGGCAGCCCAGTGAATGGGGCTCCTGCCATTGTGGGGTTTGGAAAGGGTTAATGGGGAGGCTGTTTCTCTTTTTCAAACCCATGATGTGATATCACAAGTATCATAAGGAGTTTTGCTATTAATCTTCTCACTGTGTTGTAGAGTGTTGAAGTGTAATAAGCAATGTACCTTCTCTTTCTTCATTTTCTGGAGATCAGCTTTGAAAGCTCTTAGTTTTTCAGCACGAGCTCGTGTATCATCCAAAGGACTCTTTTTTGAAGTTTTTCCCTTTTCTTATTGGTCCCACAGTCTTCTTATCTATAGCATCTGGAGCGACTTTTGACTTCTGAGCCTTGTCTGACTTCTTGTACCCTTGCTTGATATCTACTACAACTTCCTTATTTCTGTTATCCAATGAAGCAACATCTTCAACATGAGCCTGCATTTCATAGTCCAAAGTAGGGTTGTATCCATGACCTCGTTTTCTTTTTGGGGACAACGAGTTCTTGTGCATCCTATCTGGAGCACTGACCTGAAAATCTCCAGCTTCCTTGTCAGTTTCAGAGTCAGAAACTGATTGGGATTCATTGCCTGAAGAATTCTTCCCTCTTGAAGTGATGTAATTGATGTTCTGAATAACAACCATGCCTGATTTCCTTTTACTTGATCTTCCGGCCTTCTTTTGTGCTCCCCATCTTTGTGAAGCTTCGCTCTCCAACTCCGAATCACCATGTGACCTTGTTTTGGTGGCATCCATCTCCCATGCTTCTGATTCAACATTGTTGTCTTTACTATCCATGGTGTGTTTTTTCTGTCCTGCTCCATAGCCAACATTGAATCGAGAATCCTCCACTGGTGGATAAGGTGGCTGATAAAATGGGCCATTTCCTAGATAACTCTGATAGTAGGGCATTCCTTGCATAGGATATGGTTAGAAGACTGGCAGCGCACCAGATGGGGATTGTACAGGCCAGGGAGGAAACATAGGATATGGAAACGGACCTTGAAAATATACTTGTTGGCCTACTGGAACTTGGTGATCCATGGGACACGTTTCTTCTGCGCACAAGTGTATACAGTTAACCAGAAAAAAGCAAGTGAAAATTATTTTAAAATTTCAAAATGCAAAAAGTGAAAGAAGAAAATAAAGACCTCATAGAAAAGAAGAAGAAGAAGAAGAAAGAACGAAAAAGTATTGGAGTTATGTTTGGCCCTTGATATTTATCATTCTAGGAGATAAATCAATTAAAAAGGTTTTGTGCCCTTTTAACACGTCCAAGTATTAATTTTTTTAATATCAGCATTGATAGTTATATTTGCTGTTTGTAAATGCTTTTTTTTTTTTGGTGAATTTTTTTGTAAATGCTTAATTTTACTTTTAAAGCATTTCCTTCCATCTTAAGATCCTGGATAGTTATTGGTTTTTCTTCAGTTGTATTCTGAATTCTTTTATAAACTTCTTTCATACTGTAATGTTTAGAAGGAAGACCGATTTCTTCTTTCTTTTGTTGTTGATAATAGAGTTCTAGATATTTTAATTTCATTTCTGGATTAGTTATCTGGTCAGCAATGTTTGACATATTTTGCTCACTTTTTGTAAGGACATTGATACTAGGGCTATTAGTATCAAGTCCTTTCATTTCGACTTTTGTTTTCCTATAGTTAGCTTCTTCTGAAATTTGATTAATATTATGTTTGCAGAAACAAATTTCTGGAGAGGAGTCAGATTCTGAGTCAGAGTTGGAAGAATATAATGCAACAAGTTCATTATCTGAACTTGAGCTTATGCTGGAATCTTCAGAAAGCATTTGAAGGATTTGTAGCTGAATTTCATCATCCAAAGCTAGTTCATTTAATTTTTGTTGAATTTTAGCTTTGCAACAATTAGCATAATGTCCTGTTTGGCCACATTTAAAACATTTAACTGCTGACTTAACTTTCTTTTTGTAAGAAGTTTTATGTTTGCCTTTAGATTTAGGAGGTTGTGGTTGCTGGACAATTTGTTTAGATGGTTTGTATTTTCTGGATTTTTTGGAATAAAACTTTGAAGATTTTCCATATTTAGGTTTTTTATTTTTATGTTTGGATAGATACAAGATTTTAGTGTCAGAGGCAAATTGTTCACAAAATTCACCTAATTCATTATGACTTTGTTTTTTCACTTGATTCTGTAATTTAAGATCATTACATAAAGCAAGACCTTTTTCTGTGACCAATCTTATGAGTTGGCCATAGGTATATTCTGAATAGGGAATAGACATTTTGCTATGTTTATCCCGTAATTATTTTCCTAATTCTCTCAGCAAAAAGAGTTGGAAGGCCATCGATAAATTTGGCTTTCCAATGATCACAATTAGCGTCTGAACGTCTAACAACCCTCATCATGATGACATCTTTATACCAACGAAAATGGGATAAATAAGGGCATCTAAGATTCGGTAAAAGTTCTCTACTTCTATCTTCAATACCATCAGTAGAGGCACCAACAAAGTGATGTAAAATGGTATTGATAAGAGTATAAACTGCATCTTGTTCTGTTTGAACATTTCTTGTAATGGGTTCTGTAACCATTTTATATGCACTTAAAATTTCAATCTGTTGGGTTTCAGTGATGATATTATCCCACAATCCTTTAAGGATTCTTGTAAAATCATTGACCAAAAATCTGGCGATTTCATGGTCATCGTTATCATTCTGTTTGCAAATTGTTGAATACATAATCATTTGATGCAACAATTCAAATATCTAGCATTCAGAAAGACTATCTATATTCCATTCATAAATGGCTTTTCCATGATATGATTTTTGTCTCTGGAGGAAATCTTCTTCGTAAAGAATATCCATTGGAGTAGGTTTGGGATAATAATACCTACTGGGTGTTGTTTTACTGGATTTCCCATAACGCATTTTATTGATGGAAACTGGATGATTATCTTGAAAATTGCTTTCAATTTCAGGTTCATCTTTTTTAGTGTTTGATTCTGGTACTGTTATACCTTTATCTTTATTTTGCTGGTTAAACTGAGTTCCGTCCTACATCCGAAGGCGCTTTAGATGTTCTGATCTTAAGTTCAGGAAGTGTTGCAACCTTGCTTTTATCAAGCTTTTTAAAAGCAGATATGTCTTTCCTCTCAAGTTCATTTGAAAGCTTTGGCTTTGATACTAATTCGGCACGTCGTGACATCACTGGAGCAACATAAGGGCTGCTAACTATTTTAGGCTCAGATAGTCTTTGGATTCATGGGAACCTTTGGATCTGGAGTGACATCACTGTTCTCTTTCCTTGGCTCTGGTAATGATGAAACTGATCTAGTTGACCTATTCCATGGAAAGTGGCTTTCATTACTTCATTTATTGCTTTTAGAGGCTTTATGAGATTCACTGGATCCAGTTGAAGCAATTCTTATCTTAGATCTCTGTAGAGGAGATGATGATCCCGGCTCTCAATCATTGAACTTTATTCCTTTGACAGAGCTTAGCGCAAGTTTCGTTGGCAATTGTTTTCGGGGTTTTTTGTGAGGATGCCAACTGAGCCGTCGAACTGCCTTTTGCTGCAATTCTCTTTTCCCTCTCCATCTTCAAAACTTCCAGTCGCTTGCGATCTTTCTCTTCCGGTAAAAAAAACAACTTGAAGATATAAGAAGTCCATTGGAATGCCAAACATGCTAAGCTACCAAAAGAAAAATTGCACTGCAACTATAAGAACATGAAGCTAAAGCTAAAGGGCAGCCCAGTGAATGGGGCTCCTGCCACTGTGGGGTTTGCAAAGGGTTAATGGGGAGGATGTTTCTCTTTTTCAAACCCATGATGTGATATCGCAAGTATCATAAGGAGTTTTGCTATTAATCTTCTCACTGTGTTGTAGAGTGTTGAAGTCTAATAAGTACTGTACCTTCTCTTTCTTCATTTTCTGGAGATCAGCTTTGAAAGCTCTAAGTTTTTCAGCACGAGCTCGTGCATCATCCAAAGGACTCTTTTTTGAAGTTTTTCCCTTTTCTTATTGGTCCCACAGTCTTCTTATCTAAAGCATCTGGAGCGACTTTTGACTTCTGATCCTTGTCTGACTTCTTGGACCCTTGCTTGATATCTACTACAACTTCCTTATTTCTGTTATCCAATGAAGCAACATCTTCAGCATGAGCCTGCATTTCATAGTCCAAAGCAGGGTTGTATCCATGACCTCGTTTTCTTTTTTAGGACAACGAGTTCTTATGCATCCTATCTGGAGCACTGACCTGAAAATCTCCAGCTTCCTTGTCAGTTTCAGAGTCAGAAACTGATTGGGATTCATTGCCTGAAGAATTCTTCCTTCTTGAAGTGATGTAATTGATGTTCTGAATAACAACCATGCCTGATTTCTTTTTACCTGATCTTCCGGCCTTCTTTTGTGGTCCCCAGCTTTGTGAAGCTTCGCTCTCCAACTCCGAATCACCATGTGACCTTGTTTTGGTGGCATCCATCTCCCATGCTTCTGATTCAACATTGTTGTCTTTACTATCCATGGTGTGTTTTTTCTGTCCTGCTCCATAACCAACATTGAATCGAGAATCCTCCACTGGTGGATAAGGTAGCCGATAAAATGGGCCATTTCCTAGATAACTCTGATAGTAGGGCATTCCTTGCATAGGATATGGTTAGAAGACTGCCAGCGCACCAGATGGGGATTGTACAGGCCAGGGAGGAAACATAGGGCACATAAACGGACCTTTAAAATATACTTGTTGGCCAACTGGAACTTGGTGATCCGTGGGACACATTTCTTCTACGCACAAGTGTATACAGTTAACCAGAAAAAAGCAAGTGAAAATTATTTTAAAAAATGGTTTTTCCATTATAAGATTTTTGTCTCTGGAGGAAATCTTCTTCGTAAAGAATATCCATTAGAGTAGGTTTGGGATAATAATACCTACTGGG